CAGCAGCTCGGACAGTTTGATTGATAATATTCTCCACTGGTCGCGGTCATCAGTTATATGTATTGCCTCAGTATACTGTTTATTGAGAAGCTTTTTAGTAATGTCCGCCCATCGCTGTGGAGATCTTCCGCGTTGGCGTTGAGTCTGAGGCCTTCCTTGGACCACCAACCGCTCCATTTTGTGATCACTTCGATGGATATGGCCAAAGAACTTTAAAATTCTAGAGTAAACGGTACTGGAGAGACGCTGATCCGGTTTAATTTCATCCAGAACCGAGATATTTGTACGGCGAGCCGTCCATGGAATTCGAAGCAGGCGTCTCCATGTCCACATTTCAAAGGCGTCTATACGTCTTCGATCTGATTCTTTGACTGTCCATGTCTCGCATGCATAGTAAAATATGGAAAAGACCAGAGTTGAAACGAGTCTCTTTTTGTTTGTCATAGTAATGTGACGATCACGCCAGACCCCGTTTAGTTCACTCATTGCTGCTCTTGCTAGTTGAATGCGTCTTCTAATTTCGGATTCACAACTGTCCTGTGTTGTTAACTAGAGCTCCAAGATATATCATAGATGAGACTACCTCGCATCCCGCAATAGTTTGGGTTTCAGGAAACTGTTGTTGGCGATCAATAACCATGATTTTGGTTTTGTTGTAGTTAACCATGAGTCCAAATTTAGCACTTTCTACCTCGAGTTTTTTTAATAATTTAATAATTTCTTCTGGAGTAGAGGCTAGAAGTGTAGTGTCGTCTGCGAAACGCAAGTTAGATATCTCAACACCACCTAGGTTTACTCCTCCCTCCCAACCATCCAAAACTCTGCGTATTATGAACTCCGAATAGATGTTAAATTGATTTAAGTTACATTAATGTAATAACTTCTTCTTCTTCTTAAAGTGCCCTCTCCTCAATGGAGGGTTGGCTACTACAATTTTAAACTCTTCTCTATCTTCAGCTGTTCTTATTAGCTGTTCAAAATTTAGCCCTGTCCATTGTCGGATGTTTCTGAGCCATGATAGTCTTTTCCTTCCTAGGCCTCTCTTTCCCTCGATTTTTCCTTTCACTATAAGTTGGGCATATTGGTACTTATTATTTCTCAGTATGTGGCCTAGGTATGATGTTTTTCTTACTTTTACTGTGTTAAAAAGTTCTCTTTCCTTGCCTATTCTATGCAGCACTTCTTCGTTTGAGGTATGCGATGTCCATGAAATTTTGAGTATTCTCCGGTAGATCCACATTTCAAAGGCCTCCAATTTATTTACGGTTGATGTTTTAAGGGTCCACGTTTCAACTGCATATAGAAGAGTCGACCAGACGTAGCATTTTGATAAACGTAGTCGAATTTCGAGTTTTATTCGAGAATCACAAAGCAGTTTTTTTATTTTTTCGAAAGATTTTCTAGCCTGTTCTATTCTCGATCTTATTTCTTGATCAGGATTTAGGCTGCTATCGATCCAACATCCCAGGTACTTAAATCTATTGACCTGTTCTAAGATGTGCCCATTTATTGTGCAAGGTTGAGGTACGTTTTGGTTTTTTCGGATTGACATCACTTTGGTTTTTTTAATGTTTATTTTCATACCAAATTGCTCACAGGTCGAGTTGGTCTTGTCGATGAGTCGTTGTAGACCTGAGTCGGAATCCGCAATTAACACTGTATCATCGGCGTATCTGATACTGTTGATATTTACGCCATTCACCTTGACTCCATCCTTGGAATCCTCCAATGCTTCTTTAAATAGAAACTCGGAGTAAAGATTAAACAGCAGAGGCGACAGAACACATCCCTGTCTAACTCCCCTCCTAATTTCTACTTCTGCGGATGTGGAACCTTCGATCCTAACTCTGGCTTTTTGGTTCCAGTACAAGTTTTTTAAGAATTTGATGTCTTTTCCATCTAAACCGACTTCTTGCAAACGTTCTAATAGTAGGTCGTGTCTTACTCTATCAAATGCTTTTTCGAAGTCTATAAAGCATATAAATATATCTTTCTGTTGGTCGTAGCATTTTTGGGCGAGAACTAGTAAACTGAACAGGGCTTCTCTCGTTCCCATGCCGGCTCTGAATCCAAACTGATCGTCTCCGATGATTGTTTCGCACTTTCTATAGATACGATTATGTACGATTTTTAGTAGGACTTTTACAGCATGACTCATAAGGCTTATCAGACGGAACTCATTGCAGTGTTGTGGGTTTGGCTTTTTTGGTAGTGGGATGAATATTGACTCCAGCCAATCTTGGGGTATTTTACCTGTATCATAAATGCGATTGAATAAAAGGACAAATAATTCGATATTTTCTTCGCTGATTAATTTGAGCGTTTCTGGGTATATTCCGTCTGGACCTGGGCTTTTATTTGTTTTGAGATGATTAATTGCATTTATGATTTCAGATTTCAGAATTGTTGGCCCTTCGTTGTTATTTTCCAATCTTGGTTCTTCTCGTATGTCGTGAAAAAGAATTTTAATATAGTTTTCCCATTCTTTCAGTTTATCTTCCGTTGATTCTAGCAGTTTGTCATCCGTGTTCAGCATGGTGTGAAAAGTCGTTCTCTTGGTAGTCGATGTAAACTCTTTTACCTTTTTATGTAAATTAAAAAAATCGTGCCTTTGTTGCAGTTCTTCTATTTCAACGCATTTTGTTTCCAGCCATTTCTCTTTTGCTTCGGTTATTTTTTTTTCGAATTATTCTATTTAGTCTTTTGTATTCTACGTCCTTGTCATTTTTTCCTTTAGATTCTCTTCGTTTGTTCATTAATTGTAAAATCTCTTCTGTCATCCATTCCTGTTTGTTATTTCTAGGTGTTACTTTTAGATGTTTTTCCGTTACATTGTTCATTTGTTCTTTAATAGTTTTCCACAGAACGTTTATGTCATCGTACTCTCTAATTCTATTGTGGTCAATATTTCCTAAATTTTTGTTTAATTCTTTATTTACTGTCTTATGTATGGTGTCGTTTTTCAATATTTGGATGTCTAATAGTTGGTGTTGAGGTTTTTGTTTCTTTATTAGTTTCCATCTTGCGCGAACTTTTGCAACAACAGGATTATGATCGGAATTGATGTCAGTTCCAGGATATGTTTTTGCACTGATGATTGCATTGTGATATCTTTTGTTGACCAATATGTAATCTATTTGGTTACGGATTACTCTGTTTTCATTGTGTTGTGGTGAAGTCCATGTGTACAATCTGCGAGGGTGTAATTTAAACCATGTATTTGTCACTACCATGTTGTGTTGTTGGCAGAATTCGGTCATTCTCTCTCCCCTGTCGTTCCTTGCTCCAAGTCCGAAGTTTCCGATCAATCCAGAAACTTTTCCTCTACCTAACTTAGCATTAAAGTCACCTAAGATAAATGTTAGGTCTCGTTTTTTGGTCATCTTTATTAGTTTTTCTACGTCAGCATACCACGCTTCTAGCTCTTCTATGGGTTTATCGGCCGTAGGGGCATAAGTTTGAATGATGTTAATATTTACTGGCTTTCCGGATAGTTGAATAAGAAGACATCGGTCCGAAAATGGCACAAAGTTTGTGACGGCATGGTTATATTTGTCTTCTAAAATTACTCCAACCCCGTTACGATGAGCCGGATCGTTATTACCGAGTAATAGAAAGTTTTGTTCATGGTTTTAACTTTACCTGAACCTGGCCATTTAACTTCACTCAAACCCAATATCTGCAACCCTAAACGTTTCATTTCGTGGCATGCATTTGCTAGTTTTCCTGTTTCGAACAGACTTCTAACGTTCCATGTTGCAATCTTAAAGTTTGTATTTAAAATATTTAGGCTATTCCTCCGGGGATTCTTCGCACCCCTTGATCATCTAAGATCTGCCGGGGACTAGGGGCCAATTCTGTTTGTGCTTTCATTGTAGTTTTCTTGGGAAATATATACCAGAGTGGTTTCCCGTTGCTTCTCTGGTTTGTATTTTAGCCGATCCTCTGGACACAGACGCTATTTGCAGCCGCCCACTCTGGGTCAGACGCTGCGTGCTAGTTTGATCCCTACCACTTACCAGCTCATCCGCCCGAAGCGTTGGAACAGCAAGTGGGAGATCGCTTATACCGGCAATTGCTCGGTAAATATTTTCGCCATATCTGGCTACCCTCACTTAGTTTAGCCTGCAGACCAATGCAGTTGCCGGGGTGTGGCACGTGGAGCCATAAGTGAGAGTTAGTTGTCTTAATGAGGCCAGTTAGCAAGAACCATCTCCCGTCTAAATGAACGCTCGATGTGGCCGTTCCGATAAAAAGTAGGGCTGGGTGTGCTGCTACCTCTATAAACACAACTCTACAACCCCATGTAAAATACACAAAACTCACCTTTTGATCGTTAGAGCTGTAACAATTTTTAAAAAATAATCACTGATTGCCGTAGTATACTAAAACAATATCATACAAAATTATATCACGTGTACTATTACAAATAACGAACCGCAGCGAACGGTTCATTCGTCTAAACTGAGTTGCCTGTTACGGGCACGCGCCTTTACATTATGCTAGAGAGTGTTGCCAAACTGCATTGGAAATTTTCTAATTTAAGGAATTGTTCATCATGCCACCGGTGCTCATTTTGCCCCGGCTTCCCCTAAGTGCTTTCCTCTTTGGATACAGGGCTTTCCAGAACTTGCTCAATGTCGCTTAGTTTATACATCAGCCTTGTCTTGAACGTCGGGGTACACAAAATATAATTGTTTCTTTCTTAGGAATTCCACCTCAAATGTATTTTCCTCTACATTTAAAACTTTACCAACGTAACAGATGCTCCTTTTTGTTATAATATTTGACAAGAATCCAAGCTCCGGCCAAAATCAATGGCTGATCCATATTTGTACTGGGAACTGTACTTCCAGTATTATTGTCTGAAACAGCTTCTATTTCTGTAGAAGGATCACATTCGAGTAATTCTGCTTCCAAATCTGGTCTTCTTTCCAAATCTGCTTCCTCTTCCATATCTGCTTCTTCTTCCTCACCAACCACAACATCATCATCGCTTTCTAAACGAACGCTAATAGCACTCTCTGACAAGCTAGAAACATCTCTCTTCGTTCTTTTTGTTTGTGTTCTTGTTTTCTTTGTACTTGCTTTCTTTTTTTCTGCTTTGTTTTGTTTTCATGTTTCTTTTTTGCTAGTCTTTCTCTCACTTCTAAATCTGTCAAGCTTTCAGCAAACTTTCGTGTTACTCGACTGCGTTTATTAAAAGTCATTTTCGGGTCATTGTCATTTTTCAACACCGACATAATGGCTAGTTCAAGTCCTTGTTTTACACTCTTACATGACGGTGTGCTACTCAGGTCGGAAGATGTTGACGGAGTATCGTGATTATCATCAACTAGAAAGTTTTTTAACGCTACTGGGCGAGAATTAGCGCCTGCTTCAACCATCTCTGCCGTAACAATTTTCTTCATCTAGTAAGTCAGTAACATATAGAGGATACATCATTTATGTTTTTTAAATGACGAAACATATAAAATCAGAATTTTGGTGTTTATTAAAGGTAAACGAAATGCACGAACAAATACTTACCATGTCGGGATAGTATTATGAGGTTTTTTCCTGGTTTTTCTCTCATAATTTACCATGGAATCACTAACAGGAGAATTTTACTGTCATCATGTCATGTGTTTGTCTTTTTAAAGACGAATTATATGCTATGATTTTTTCTGACGGATATTCTCAAGTAAAGTTGATTTCATGTAATCGAATGAACTATCTTATAAGTAAAGTCGTCCCAGGAGCGCAACTCAACAATATTGGCAATATCATTTTAAAGTCGTCTACTTTAAAATGCCTAATGTATGTCTGAATTGTCAATATAAATGAGTCAGATAAAATTAAATTATTAGAAGAATTTTTCACTATGTAACAAAAAACAAAATTTGTTTAATTTACTGTTTGTATTTTGAGAACGATTTCCGAAGTGGAAATTGAAACGTCAATAAACGTATTTTTATCTTTAATTGTGGCTTATTCCCAGTTAAATACTAATTAATTTAAAATGCCACAAGAAAATAGCTTCAGAACAATATTGTCTTTGCAAAGCGAATAAATCCCAGACCCACTAAACCCACTGATCGCATTAGCTCTTGACAGACATCCAGAATTTTCTAGCCTTTTCATAAGCGAAGAAAAAACCAGTTTGTCAACATTAACCAGTCTCTTGATAGTATTCTCGTAGAACTCCCCTCCAGGACTGTTTATCTGTTTTGTACATACCAACATCCAAAGGCTGCACAAAGTGTGACGTGTGAGCTGGCAAGCAGAATATTTCTACGTTATTCTCAACAGCTGCTTCTACAAGATCTAAAGATATGTGCGAGTTATGACCATCGAGAATTAGCAATTTCGTTCCTTCGTATTTTGAAGTTTCCAATACAAAACAGCTTATCAACCAATAAAAAATAAACCCAATCCATCCAGCCAGATGGGGAACAGTTGTAACGAGCATTGGCGGGACCATTTACACACCCAGTATGGTACAGGTGCAACCCTTTGTATGAACATCGGCAAAAAATCATGGCATTGCAACACATTAGAACTGTGTACGAAGCTTTTGTAGAACTGGCAACTAATTTATTTGGATTACGACTTCCTACAAAGCACCTTTTGGACACCAGCATCGGTTTGAAATCCGGTCCCCATCACAGTTAAATATATTTTGTGGTTTCATCGGTTAACAACCAACTCTAGTTTTTGACAAAAGTCCTCCATCACTTCCTGTGATCCTGCCATTGCCCTGTTTTTTCGGCAGGTTTTGCGCTACCCTTCTACTGATTTCATGAGACCATCTTCTTTCAAACATCAGGCACCAGTCTGCACCTGGCTTACCATTGGCAAATGGATTGGGCCGATCCATTCGCCTAACGTAATCTTGTACGCAACGTTGTAGTTGAAATCGGTCGAAACCATAACCCCACTCGGGCATCAGGGCGCCTGGGTTTCTTGGAACGGGGCATCTGAAACCACAAAAATCATTCTGTAGGTGACACTTTTGGTCCAGGGGTAAGATTGACACTCATTCTTAAACGAGCTGGCAACATTGACACTGTCAATGTTCACATCAAGGCTAACTGTGACACTGTCAATTTTAACCTATAAACGGAAAGTGCAGAAAAAAGCTGTTTACACCAACAGTCTAATAATAAGTGGTAATTGATTAAATACCATCCACTTACCTTGTTCAGCTAAATTACGTTTTTGAAACGGCCGTTTGTTGAAAGTTCCTTTAGCACAAAATTCACGTACCACCATCCGTTGACTCATGGGCAGACATTTTGAAAAGCCAAGAGTGTTGCCGGAGTCTCGGCACTTCGCTGTTAGATGGTCATGACCTAAAAAATGGTAGATTTCATATCAAGGATTTTAACCAACCCTTATAGCTACTGTACTATACAAAAGTAAATGCCGAATAGAATGTGGTTCCAGCCATGTTATAACGCATGTTACAGTGTGCCATGCTAACACAGCATATTTTAGTACAGTTCAAGTAGTCAATAGGTTATAAGTTTATTTATATTAATCATTCTGTTAGTATCTACTTTAAAAAAATTGATTTATAGTTACCTATACAATAAGGAGTAGAGAAGTGAAATTCTATATTTATTTTTATGACCTGAAAAATGGTAGATTTAATATCAAGGATTTTAACACAAAGGACAACTTCGTCTGATTATACGTGTATTTATTTATAATAATCATTAGTTTAGCATTGACTTTCAAATTTGAAAGGTCAATTTATAATTATTATAAAACAAGAAATTGGAATTCTATCAACAAGAAGATTCGACAAGCCGATTTAAAGCACGTTCTCATCTACATCAGAGATAAAAGGAATGAAAGTAATTTTATGTGTGGCAATATATATCAAAGATTAGTTATATGTGGACAGAAAAGTCTCTATTTTGAACGAATGTTGTTCACAAAATAGTTATACCAACCCTTATAGGTACTGTACAACTCTGTTGGACCAAATGTACAAGTACTGGGGCGCTCCACTGTCACCACTGTACAACTAATGGGAGATTTTGTATCCCCTGTTGTAAATAATCTGGAACTAGAGGGTGAGAAAATCTTTACCACTGTACAACGCTGTCACCACTGAAACATCCTCGATATGAACCTTAAGTTGCTTATCCCTGCGAGCGGCTGCAAGGCTACTGGTCCCACTAGTCTGAAATGGCTGGCTCGCCTTCGTGGATTTACGAGAAGGTAGAGAAGTTTCGGGATAGGGATTTAAGGACTTCTAGGTCTCAGGTCGTGTAAAGAGTTTGAGTCTATGGGCTTACTTTAGAAGCCGGATAAATGTATAAGCCGACATTTGTTACTCTTCTGGTCTCTGTCTGAATCGGCCGGAAGGAACATAAAAACCAAATTTAGAGTCTACAAATGTATTGAATATACTATGTGGTTTACAATTAAGTTAACAAGCTGTCAGATATAATCAATAATAACTAGTTCGGCGAGAAGGGAGACGAGAAGAGATCTTAGCAAGAAAGTAAAGGGGTGACAATCTGTACTACTATAATTTACTCGGGTTAGTATATAGAATTTTGTTACCTTTCGCGTATTTAGGCTCTAGCTAATGATACGCCAGTTCCTCTGGAAATCGGATTTCTTTTGTGGAGATACCGCGCTCTGTCGCGATTTTCGAACTTCCAGTACCCGACACTTATACGGAACTATATCCCGTCGAAATATAACAATCGCGCGTAATCCGCACCTGGTGTCGCCTCTCGTCTTGACAGCCCTGCCCGAAGATACCGACTGACTGGACGCTACCGCCGGCAATTACTGCCTGAGCGGGCAGTCACGGTGCCCAGCTATTACTGATCGCGTACTGGACGCTATCGCGTCCGACCGCTCACGGAGCTGGCAATTAATGCCTTGAGCGCTCCCTCGATACTACTGCCTGGTTGACCAATTTTTTTAGTTTTTATGTCCCGCGAACATTCCTAGTTTATTTTGCTTATTCTGCTGTACTGTTCCACGTGTTGGAATGTAACATGCGATGGTGTGACGCTTCGTTGTATTAATTTTCACGAAGGTCTTAAGATTTCGTAATTCTTAAACATTCGGGCTTGTGTCAAACTAGGTCAATTGTTATCTTTGTATGATTTAAAATGTATACGTTACTGTATTGAATTTATTATTTATTTAATTTGAAATATATAATAATTATTTTGAATAATTATTATCTTCTCTATGCTACTTAGCCCTTATTTTTTTCTATTCTTTATTTTCTTGCTATGTTTACATTACAGTACTGTAGTATACAAAAGCAAATATCGAATAGATCGTGGTTCCAGCCATTTTAACACGTATGTTACAGTGTGTCATGCTAACACAGCACATATTAGCACCGTTCTAGTAGTCAATATGTTACAAGTTTATTTATATTAATCATTACGTTAGTGTTTACTTTAAATTTAAAAAATCGATTTATAATTACCTTACAATAAGGAGAAGTGAAATTCAATATTTATTTTCATGACCTAAAAATGGTAGATTTCATATCAAGGATTTTAACACAAAGGACAAATTCATCGGATTATAGATGTATTTATTTATAATAATCATTAGTTTCGCATTGACTTCAAATTTGAAAGGTCAATTTATGATTATTATAAAACAAGAAATTGGAATTGTATCACCAAGAAAATTCGACAAGCCGATCTAAAGCACGTTCTCATCTACATCAGAGATAAAAAGACTAAAAATAATTTTATGTCTGGCAATGTACCGGGGTGGGCATAAGTCATTTAACGCTATTTGACGCGGTTCAAAAATAGTGAGGACGTGGCAACGGTGCTAGCCGTACCGAATTGGTGCGATGACAGAAGAAGTGTGGTGTGGCGCTTGTCGTTAGTTAAGATTGTCGGTAACCGAGTTTACGTCGCCATGGCAGCCCAAGTCCGTGTAAAGTACACTACAGAAGAACGAGTCTGTCTGTTGACTTCGTACCTATGTTATCATGCAGATTATCAGACGGTATTTAACGAATTCACTATAAGTATCCAAATAGGCCTGTTCCTACAAGGCAGATGGTTTACAAGTTGCATAAGAAGTTCCAACAAAGTGGGTCAGTATTGACGCATCGCGTAGTGGTCGCCCTTCTGTGGTAGTGACAGATGAAAATATGGAACTGCGTTGCGGAAACATTTGTTGAGACGCCCAAGCAATCCACAGTTCGGGCATCGCTTCAATTAGGTATATCTCGCCGAAGTGTAAGTCGCATGTTAAAGAAATTAAATTATCATTGTTATCGTCCACGTTTGATACATGCGATAACGGAAGACGACTCTGATCGTAGATTGGAATTTTGCGAGTGGTATACTGTTTGCGCAGATGACGACGCACAATTTTATAAGCAAATTCTTTGGAGTGATGAGGCGCAGTTCAAACTAAACGGACGGATTAACCAACACAATTGTGTTTACTGGACAGATGAAAACCCTCACGAAACCATTGTTCATGAGTTAAATCTCCCCGGAGTAACAGTGTGGGCAGAACTTCACGCCGGTGGTCTGTTGGTCCGTATTTTTTTTGAGGGCAGCGTAAATGCAGAAAATTATCTTGAACTACTTATTGATTTAAAGGGTACTTTGGAAAATAACCCAGATATTCGCTATTTTCAACAAGACGGCGCTCTTCCGCACTTCGGACTTGCAGTTCGCGAATACCGGAATGCCGAGTTTGACATGTGGACAGGAAGAATTGAGTGGACAGCACGGTCACCCGACATAACGCCAAGCGATTTTGCTTTGTGGGAGTACTTAAAAAAGTATTCGCCACCCCATTACATAATATTGAACATTTGAAAACAACAATTCAAGAGGAATTCGATGCACTCCGCAACAACCCAGAATTCTTTGACAAAACTTGCTACAGCGTATATAAACGGTGTCGTAGGTGACACCTTTGTGTTTAGTTTTCTTTATTTGGTATGCAAATTGGTTAACTGTTAAGTGTAGTTATACCAACCCTCAAGGGCGGTCATATATCTTAATTCAGGGGGGGGGGGCATTTTGTACAATTAGATATTAGCTCTCAATTTCAATACAGACACAAAACGCAGAATGGGATGTTTTATATATTGAAAAGAGAAAATAACAATAACTTGAATGAAATGAAATTATAAACAAAAAACTAATATTTTACATGACGAACTCTATGTTTCGACTCACTCCACTTTTAGCGAAACGGTCTATTATATTGTCTTCGTTAATAACAATGTCCTTGTGGACATGCATTAGTGCAAGGCCAGTTAACCGTTAGTAGTATAGCAGACGGGGTTCAAACCCA